ATAGGGCTTTATATATATATATATATATATATATATAAAGCCCTATAAACATAGGTGATGTCTGAGAGCATAGACCAAGGATACTGTATGTTCTTCTTGTACCTACTGCAAAGCAGCAGGGCCCCCACATTGGAGCTAAAGAAAATTACTCTGCAGACTAAAGATACCCGGAGAGCCTCGGCAATGTCCACGTGAACTATGTACGAAGGGTGAGCTAAGACAACCCCTTTACTTCTTCTCGTTTAGGAGCTGAGGCTCAGTTTTGGATAGCCCATCTCTTCTCATATATGATTTCTCTTTGCCCAGAGAATCTCCCACTTGTCTTCTCCCACTGAAACTCTGAAACTCGCTTTCCTTTCCTGCTTGGAGCTACACTCAGAGGTCAGTTGGTAAAAATCACTTCTCCACCTGGCCTGGCATGGCTCTCCTACTGATAGTTCCCAGAGCAATAAAGTTCATGTCACTTCTAAACTGCCTCTGAGTGCTGAGAAAAACTGACAAGAAAGGAAAGGGGCATTTCTAGGGGCTGATATAGCTAATAAGCTTGAAGTTTCAAAGTAGAATTCACCTTCCCAGCTACCATCTCCTACTGTCATTACTCAACTGGCCCCAGTGGTCTATAGTTGTCCCTCCATTTATGGAACATTGATTCCAGGACCCTCCAAAGATTTCAAAACCCACAGATATCAAATTCTCCTATTCAAAATGCCGCAGTGTTTGTATAAAACCTGCAAACACATGCCCACGTATTTTAACCCATTTCCAGGTGACTTAAAATAGCTATCATGATGTAAGAGCTCTGTAAATGGTTATTATAGAGTGTTATTTAGGGTGTGACAGCAAAGAAATAGGCTGCACAAATTCATGTTTTATCTAAACGTTTGGGTCTGCATTTGAACATGAGATTCAGATGCAGGGTAACTCTATTATAGAGTCACTGAAAGAACACCCGATGCAATGAGAAGACAAGTATGCCTACCTCCTTCAGCTCGGCTGAATAATTCAGGATGTGCTCCAATTGATGGTCATTGAAACCAAACTGGGATTCAAGATCAGACTGAACTTTCTGGGGATCCCATACCATATTCTGTAGGGACAGGTGGTAAATGGTCTCTGTGAACAGAGATGATTAATGCATTAGGTATTCTGATATTCAGATGTGCACATTATAATGAAGAAAATAACATTTTACTTCTAAATGAATAGAAACTTAAACTTGATAACATTAAGTACCACTCGGGATTAAATAAGAACAGTAGCTGGAGAGGTGTTATTAAGGGTGTTTTCTGTTCTGGCAGAGGATCCAGGATCAGTTTTCAGAAACCACATATTGGTGCACAACCACCTATAACTCCAGTTTTATGGGTTCTGATGACTTCTTGCCTCTGTGGGCACCTAAATACACGTGATGCACATATGACTCAAGCTTACACACAAGTGTGTGCGGTACAAATACACACATGTAAAATAAATACATTTAAAGGAGAACGAACAAAAGCTGATATGGTCATCACTCCTCATGTGCACAGGACACATTCCAAGGCCCCTAGTAGATGTCTGAAACTATGCATAACCAAACTCTGGATTTAGCAAATATTTTCTATTCATATATAGTCATGATAAACTTAAATTTATAAAGTAGGCATAGTAAGACATCTAAGCAACTAATAATACAACAATAATATGCCTCAATAAAATGGCCATCATCACTCTTCTTTGTATTTTGAGGCTAACATTTTCTTTAAAAAAAAAAAAGAAAGAAAGAAAGAAAGGTTCCTTGAACAAAAGCATTTCTATGCCATGACAGCTGATCTAATAATCAAAAGTACTATTGTCTGTTAAATGATTTACGTGCAGGCACTGTATACAATGTGAATACATGGAACAAAAGAGAGATTCCTGTGCAAGGTAAAATGGACCAAGAAAGAGTAAGGTTTCATTTTATTATTCAAAAAGTCACACAATTTAAAATGCGTGGGTCAGACTGGAGAGATGATTCAGAAGTTTAGGGTATTTGCCACTCTTCCAAAGAGCAGGAATTTAGCTTCCAGACCCACAGTGGATGACTCATGGCTGCCTAGACATCCAGCTCTGGAAAACACAATGCCCTCTGCTGGCCTTTGTGTGTACCTGCACACATATGTTCATACACACAGAGACACACACATACACATAGACAAAATTTTTAAAGAAATCTTTAAAACTTATTTTTAAAAAGTACATTGCACCAAAATCTATTGTCCTAAAGAAGCTAAACAACAAGGAGGACCCTAGGGAAGATGTTTAATTCTCATTCAGAAGGGAAAACATGATAGATACTGAAGTGGTAGAAGAGAGGTAGCAGGATGGGAGCCCACCACAGACATTCTCTAAAAAACTCCACCCAGCAGGGGATGGAAGCAGATGCAGAGACTCACAGCCAAACTTTGGGCAGAGTGCAGAGACTCTTATGGAAGAAGGGGGATATGGAAGGACCCAGAGGGGATAGCAGCCTCACAAGGAGACCAACAAAGCTAAAAATGCTGGGCCCATGAGACTGATGTATCAACCAAACACCATGCATGAAGAAGAACTAGAGGGCCTGCTCAGATGTAGCCTATAGACAGCTCAGTCTCCATGTGGGTTCCCTAGTAAGGGGAGAAGAGACAGTCTCTGACATGAACTCAGTTGCCTTAATCACTTTTCCATGGTGAGGAGACCTAGCCAGCCCACAGAGGAAGAGGATCCAAGCAGCCCTGATGGGACCTGATAGACTAGGGTCAGACAGTAGGGGAGGAGGACTTCCCCTATAAGTGGACAAGGGAAGTGGGATAGAATAGGAAAAAGGAGGGAGGGTAAGACTGGGAGGACAGAGGGAGGGGCTACAACTAGGATACAAAGCGAATAAATTGTAAATAATAATGATGATGATGATAGAAAAAAAAGAAATAAGAAAAATGACACTGTGGTAGTATCCAGATAAAAATCCAGAGAATAAAGAAGCAGGAAGAATATTCAAACAGGTAGCTGAGGTGTTATCAAATCTGTGACAAAGTACGACAAAGAAGGATTAAATGGTAGGGGAGAAGGTGGAACTCGTATTGGTAGTCTATTTGAATCTGGACTTAAATGCCAGGAAGCTTGATGACATCAACAAAAAAATTTTTGGTAGGAGTGCTTCACATTCAACTTCTACCCATTGGAACTGTCAAATGTTTCTGCCGTCATTTACACAGACTACAACTTGGAACTTGAACTTTGGATAATAGCATAATAAGAAGGAACTTTATTCCTTCCCTGTGCCACACTGTCCCATAAGATTGTAGGTAGCACCACCTTGTGACAGACCTCTTCTGCCTAAAAATTATCTGATTCTACGTTAGAAAAAAAACCCGTTAGATGCCATTAATGGTTAAGCATGAACTTACTATAATTAGGCTTTTATCTTTGGTCAAGATTAATTTACATTTCCCTAGGGAGAGGACTTATATAAGGAACTTTCCCTAGCTACTTACAGTCTATATACCTTTTTGTACTGAAGGGCTACATGTACTGAAATCTTACATTAATTTCCTGAATTCTGGCTGGGATACAAAGTAAATAACTTGTGATTAATATTAAAAAATTAAAAATTAATAATAAAAAACCAAAAAAAATTTCCTGAATTCTGGGTAACATAAAGAGAACTGTTACATGATTTAAACTTAGTTCCTACTATCTCTCTGATCACCAAATAAATATATTAATAGATATTGAAATAAAATCTGACTATAAACTTAAAAAAAAAGTACATTGCAAGAGTTTTATAAAATTCAGATCAATGAACTCAGTAATTTCACATCTAAAATTCTATCTTAAGGAAGTTAATGAGATAACAAAGTGAAGAGTAATGTACCATAATAGTTTTCACTGGCTTCACACTAGTTAAATATTGAAAGCCAGCGACCCATAGCATCAAGGAAAATGACAGAGAGTATAAAATGCTGTAGAGCAGTAGTTCTCAACCTATGTGGATTGCAAACCCTGTAGGGGGTCCCACTTCAAATATCTCATGTATCAGATATTTCCATTATAATTCATAATAGTAGAAAAATTATGGTTATGAAGCAGCAACAAAATATTTTTATGGCTGGGGGTTACCACAACCTGAGGAGCTGTATTAAAGGGCTTCAGCATTAGGACAGTTGAGAAGCACTGCTATAGAGGCACCTTAAAATCCTATTCCAAAAATTCAAGCCACAGTATAACGTTTCTCCAACTGGGAAAACCAAGACATAAAACCTCTAAGCTACTCAGATATGCAGGTGGGACCATCTGGAAGAGCCAGCCAAACCCCCGATGTCAGATGAGAGCTCTGGGAAACACATTCTGGCCAAAGCAAACATAACACTGCACAAGCCATTAGAGGAGCTCTTGTCAGCAAATCTAGCGACTGGGCAGATCATTTCCAATCATGATCCTGCAGCTATCTGTCATGGACCTTATACGTACTAGCCACCTGCACGACTTCTCCACCTGCATGATCTCATAGGGTGCTTAAGTTAACGTGGTTGTGCAAGCACAGTACATAAGACACACCCATGACACTTTAAAGGATATTTCCATTATTTTTAATTATGTGTATGGGAATATGGTGAGTCACCTGTCACATGAGTACAGGTACCCATGGAGGTCAGCAGAAAGTGATGGATCCCCTGGAGCTGGAGTTACAGGCAGTTGTGAGCTGCCTGACATGGGTACTGGGAACCAAATAAGTCTTTTGCAAGACCAATAAGTGCTCTTAACCTGTGTCTTATCTCTCCAGCTCCAGTCATGACATTTGAGAGAGAAAGAAAAGGAAAGGCGGAGTCTGTGAATCCACGACACCAGGTTTCCAGGAAGACTGACATCTTTGCATGATGCCATGGCTCAAAACTCAAGATTGGTTTCTGAGATTAAAACCAGTGCTCATGGGATGAGGGTTCCAGACTGAGAATTAAGCATTTCCCACAGGAAATCGAAGTCACCAGAAAACAGCACAGTAATAATGTCCTTTTGAGAGAAGAAGAATTAGACAGAATCACTTTTTAAAACTCACATCCCTACAGTAGGATGGTGCCTATACCCAAAAGATGCAAGTCCATGCCTGAGTTGCAAAAATCCACCTCTACTGATATAAAACTTTATGGAAATTATGTACAAAGTTTCAGGAAAGAACTGAAAAAAAAATGTCGTTGGTCTACCAAAATGCTTTGAAAAAGATAATATTGTTTGAAACTGAAGGGCAATATGGATTCTGAACAGTGTAGCTGAGCAGTGACATTTTCAGATCCTGTGAGTTAATAATGTCAGTGAATTATGTGACTGGGCCAGCAGCTCCATCCCTTTCCTCCACGCGCTGTAATCTGTTCACCAGGAAAAGCATTTTTCTTGGAGACAAGAGAAATGAAGACAATTTTTAATGGTCTCTAGAAGCCTAATCTATAATCGTGTATCTTCACTACTCAAATGGATAGAAAATTGCTTTTAATTACATTCTTTAAAGTAATTATATCTCCAATTGTATGCTAAATTGAATGTTATAATCTGGGTGATTTGTGCAAATTTCTGCTTCCAAATTAGCTTGTTAAAACTGAGGTCACTGAAAACCTATCAATGAGGTATTTTAACATATCTCCTATCCCACCTCCAGTCTTTTATTCTAGACTTAAGAAATAGCTTCTGATAGAATCAAACTGATACAAAAAATCGAGTTAATCCTTATTAATAGCCTATAGCCTTCATAAAGAAAGCCACTCTCTCCACAAGACCTACACAAGACCATGTTGAGTCCTAAGGAGCAAATGGATTTGGGGGTAAGAGAGGGTATTTTTGAGGACAATATTGTATTGGGCCGTTGCTTGCAGCAGGAGAAATGTATCTGGGTCTACAGGAATCTCTGTGAAACCAATATATTGTATAGTTTGGGACACTAAGCCACCAAAAGTGTAAGGCCAATGGAAGGCATGACCAAGAACTGCCTGCCTTCACACCTCTCTCACACACACCTTGGCACATCTCTCTATAGTATACCCCTGAATCTATTGCTCCATTGGCCATTGAGACTGAATGGGCTCCCTTTCTGAGCCAGTCTCTGCCACTGCCTGATATACCTCAGACACACTGACCATTGAGCACTCTCCACTCCTAGCAAGTTCCTGCCTATCAAACACTGCTCTCTTTTCCCAGAAATGCTCCTTGAGCATGCTAATGAACTCTAATGTTTTTCAAAACTGTTCTTTGAAATTGACAGTGAAGAAAATGCCAGATCCCCACTCCATGGTCTCTGTTTTCTGTATTGACATCTTTTGCTCCTTTATAAATGACTTCTCTAAGTGCAAGAACCTTTCTTTGCTGATCCCAGCTACTTATGAAGCCAAGTCCAGAAGATTACAAGTCCAAGGCCAGCCTGGAAAACTTAGTGAAATACTTTCTCCAAATAAAACTAATTTTTAAAGTAAACACACTTTATTATAATAAACTCACAAATAAATTATCATGCAGCCAGATTAGCCTTGTCACTCAAACAAACACTTGTCTACTATATAAATCTCAATGAGTTTGTGTTTGTTTTTTTTTTTTTTTTTTTTTTTTTAAAGTGGGAGGCGGGTGATAAAGAGATGGTTCAATAATTAGAAGTGAATACTGCTATGGCATGAGATCTGAGTTAGAAACTCCCAGACCCCCTATCCAGAAGATCACAACTGCCGCCAACTCCAGTTCCAGGGGGTCTGATACCCTCTTCTTACATCTGTGGGCACTGCACTCATATGTGCAAGCCCCCACACATATAAATATAATTAAATCTAAAATATGTTTTAAAAGATTGGGTTATAGAAAAGCAGTAGTGTGTTTGGGTGATGTGTAAGGCTCTAGATTCAAACTTCAGTCACACACACACACACACACACACACACACACACACGTGTGTATGTGTGTGGGCAGAGCCACACAGAAAAAAACATTTTCTTTTCATCTCATAATTAATTAGGGAGATGGGTGGTAATGTTGATGGATTAGCAACAATGGGGTGAATGGGTGGGGTATGAATTAACGTAAATGAGTAGAGAGATGGGTGGGCAGATGAACAGCCAAATGGATAGGTGGTGGGTTAAATACTGACGGACAACAAGTTATGATAGGAGATGAACTCTAACTTCGCTGTTCTCTCACTGCACTTCCATAGAAAATTAAACAAAGAATAAACCAAAGGGAATAAACGTATAGGTAGAGTATTAAACCCAATGACAACTTAATAATGTTCAAGTCAAGAAAATTAGGGATTCCCATCCCTAAAGAGAGATACTTATTACATATACCATAGTGTGCCTTCTTCGAGTAACCTCACTGTTTTCCCACGGTCCCCAACTCTAGTTCCAGAGGACTGGGATCCCTCCCAACAGGAGCTTACAGAGATGAAAGGTTCAAAATCACAGAGCAAGTGGTTTGTCTGAACTTAAAAGTCAGCTTACAACTTAAGAACTTTAAAAAACCAGTTGTTTGAGATATAAATGTAATTTTTATTAGCAATGACTGAAGAATTTCAACAGCGGTAGAAAGTCAGTCATTTTTGACCTGCAAACTTAAATCTGTGTCTGTCTTACTTAGCAGAAACGTAAACTTTGGGTTGATATTTTAGTTAATCAATTCTTCGAAGAGCTATGCAGCTCTGTTCTTGCTAACACATTCCAAGAGTGGAATATCCCCAACATAGCCCCAACCCTTAGGGTTTCTCACCATTGACAGCTGTTCTGTGATGCTGCAGAAACCTCAGGCTGGAGATGGTTGCATTCAGAACATGTCTAAAAACCTGGGGGATGGTCTGGTTCAGTGGTAGCCAATCCAAATCTCCCAGAGATGTTAACGAACTAGAATAGAAACAAATACAGGCAGAGTGAGTTGCTAGTCATCCAAGGACTATCCGTTCCAGAATTAGTTCCCATTGGCCAGACCCCAGCCTTCCTCCAGGATATTGCCAGACCATTAGTGTGTCAGCAATTTACTTCATTTACTGTGATCCTAACTGCCTGGGTAGGAGCAAGCCCCACCAACCCTCAATGATGTCAGCATTGCAGGAGGCTGTGTATGTGTATAGTTAAGTTAATAATTTTAATGTAAGAATCACTTGTTAAAAAGTGGAAAGCCCAATATAGAAAGCTCTGCTCCAGAATGTGCCTTCAGAACATCTACCATACTTGTTATGCCAGCAAGGCACTGAATCTATCAGGCTACATGATATCTTTGGCATTACTGGCTAATATTATTACATTTATGTCAATGGTGAAAACCTTAGAAGCATCCAGGCTGATGGTAAGATTATTAAGTATATTATAGTATATACTATTTCATCAAATGGAATATTATGCAAACATTAGAAATGATCATTTGAAGGTGATATAAGCCAATGAAATGTTAATCAGATACTGTTAACTTTTGAATGATTGAATATTCTCTAAACAGTACCACTGCCCACAGTTAAGATATGAACACACAGATGGGGACAAAGGTGGAGAGTAAGGACTCTGGAAGTTTCAGGAGGACATTATTAGGGTGTCTTTTATGAAAATACTATACAGCGACACACACCTACTAAAATTATGGAGCTAGCACATATAATCGCTGGTTGTTTGCTTACTTCAAACCTGCCTGGAGAAAGTGTGTCGCAGCACCCAAACGATCTTCCAAGCGAGCATTGGTTGTGTGCAGTCTGGGCAGGGAACGTAGAAAATCCCAAATATGAGGTTGCTGATGGAGGCTCTCCAATTTTGATATCACATCCTCGGTTTTATTAAGATCCATCTGATAGGAAAGAAATCAACAACAGTTTTCTTATCTAATTTTCTTGATGAAATAAAGAGGAGACAAACAGATAGACAGGGAACATCAAATATGTAAGAAGCTCATGCCTAACACCTCAGTATATTCAATAAAAATGATTTTAAAATTCTTATTAGATTGATTTTATTTTTAAAGTTTCAAAAATATAGAAAGTTGTGTGTCTAAAATCAAGTATTAATAATAAAACTTAGGAAACCCTTCTATTCAAAATAACTGTAAATTATCAAAAAAATAAGGAAAGAAGAAAAAGCAGCACACAATGGAACACTACTCAGAAATTAAAAACAAAGAAATCATGAAATTTATAGGAAAAATGGTGGGAACTAGAAAAGATCATCCTGAGTGAGGTATCCCAGAAACAGAAAGACACACATGGTATCTATTCACTTATAAGTGGATATTAGACATATACTATATGATAATCATACTAAAATCTGTACCTAAAGAAGCTAAAGAAGAAGGAGGATCCTGAGTAAGATGATCAATCCTCATGCAAAAAGGCAAACAGGACAGAAATTGGAAGAAGGAGAAAACAGGGAACACGACAGGAGCCTACCACAAAAGGGCTCTGAAAGACTCTACCCAGAAGGGTATTAAAGCAGATGCTGAGACTCACAGCCAAACTTTGAGCAGAGTGCAGGGAATCTTATGAAAGAAGGGAAAGATAGAAAGACCTGGAGAGGAGATATAAAGACCTGGAGGGGACAGGAGCTCCACAAGGAGAGCAACAGAAACAGAACCAAAAAATCTGAGCCCAGGGGTTTTTTGTGAGACTGATGTGCCAAACAAGGACCATGCATGGAGACAACTTAGAACCACTGCACAGATGTAGCCCATGACAGCTCAGCCTCCAAGCGAGTGCCCTAGTAATGGGAACAGGGACTGTCTCTGACATGAACTCAGTGGCCTGCTCTTTGATCACCTCCCCCTGAGTGGGGAGCAGCCTTACCAGGCCACAGAAGAAGACAATGCAGCCAGTCCTGATGAGATATGATAGGCTAGAGTTAGATGGAAGGAGAGGAGGACTTCCCCTATCAGTGGACTGGGGGAGGGGCATGGGAGGAGTATAGGGAGGGGGGAAGAGATTGGGAGGGGCTGAGGAAGGGGGGCTACAGCTGGGATACAAAGTGAAAAAATTGTAATAAATTTAAAAAATAAATAATAAAACAGGAAAACCTATTCAAAATAACTGTAAACTATCAAAAAAATAAAGAAGAAATAGCAGCAAAAGATTAAAAAAAGAGTGAAAGTGGTAGAAAGGAAAGATGCAGAAGCGGAGAAGAAGAAAGGGGAAAGGGAAGAAGATTTGTTGTCACAGGCATCATTATATGTGGTACCCAGGAGGGCTACTCTGGGTGTCAGAACTCATCCTCTCAGGCTGAGCTTGCTTCTTATGAAAATAGATGCAGAAAGCACATACCCTTAGCACGTGTTTGGTGTGGGATGCTGTGGCCAGGAAGCTGGGCTCTCAGGCAACTGTTGGCCTTAGCTAAAGCTAGATTAGACAGCCAGTGGGAGGTGTGAGGACCGGTGGCCTCAGGAACAGCTTCTATTCCTGGTCTTTCAACTTTCTGTGTATCCTCCTAGAATTGTATAACCTGTCTCCAGTCATTCCTATTCTCTCTCAGGAGAAAAGAGTCACACTCTCATCCTCCTTGCTCTTTTGGAGCCTCTCGTCAGCATCACCCACCACCTCAGGCTTCTGCTTGAAGCAGCCGCAGCTCTGACTTGGTCCCTCCATAGCGCTGAGACAGTGGATCACCCCATCTCCCTGGAAACAGTTTTTCCAAGCTTCCACACAGCTCTGTGTCCATTCTCTTCATCCTCCTAGCCTCACACACCTTCTCAGATACATTCTCTGCCTCATCTTCACAGACATTCTCCATCCTTCATGTGTCACTTCAGCCCCAACACCTTCCAAATCCATACATCTATCCGAGGCTATTTACGTTAGCACCCATTGTATGACGCCACATTCTCCTTGATGAACCTCACCCTGATAGATCACCAGCACACCCAAGTCAATCCTATTTCTTCCCCTTCCCTCTCCTCATCACACCACCAAGAAAATCTTGCACTAACCTTTCTCTACCTCAGTGAACAGCCATTCTGTACTTCCAGGTGCTGACATAAACCACCTAGACTCGCTCTGACTTACCTGGCTCATGTTCCCTGAGAGATTCTACTGGATTACACCTTCTGAATATAACAAGAATTGCACCACAGCCTACTTTCTCTAACTACACAGCTCCTTCACATGTTTGTCATACACATGCATAGGTAATTGAGTTGATTTCTTAGTTGGTTTCCAAAGTCTACTGTCACCATCAACAACCTATGGCTCAGCACAGCCACACAAAAGGTCCTGCAGTGACATGATTCATCTCTCACTCCTCTGATGAGATTAACGCAAAGAAAGTTCCATTCTAAATGAAAATAAAGCAGAAAACCAAACACGGTAGAACATATCAAGAATCCCAGAACTGGGAAGCTGAGAGACCGGAAGTATCAGGAGTTCAAAGCCATTCTTCATGACATAGAGAGCTGGAGTCTAGCCTAGTACTGGAGACCTAGTCTAGGAAGAAAAAATAATACAAGGAAAGAGAGAAGGAAGGAAAGGAAGGAAATATATCAGGTGATATGACACCATTACCAAAATCCTGTATCAAAAATATAGACCTAGAATCCTTTCATGGTTAAAAAAAAAAACAAAGAAACAAAACAAAACAAAAAACAGGACTGCTTTGCTGCAACCACACTTCAGCTCACCGTATGCATGGCCTCACTGTCTGTGCATGATAATCAGACAGTGGATATGATGGCAGTTTCTACTTTCTACAGTTACCATAATCTTTTCACATGTTAATTATTGATTGTATAAAGTAGGGCATCAACATTTACTTATGCTTGTTCTGAATATTAGAGTTATCCACATTATTAAATAACCTATTTATGCACGAAAGTTTTTAGCGTAAGAAAAATTGTCAGAAAGGCCACAAAGGTATCAAGTCATTTTCAAAATTGATTGTAATAGTCTTTCATTGTCACAAACCACCTGACAATTTAGGTGTAACAAGAATTTATACCTAATTTAAGGGAAATAATTTACATACTTACCTTAAAATGATAGTTTGATTATTAAAATATTGCTTCAACTGATTAAGCTAATGTTCTTCAGTTATTTGTAAACTTGCATACACCTTGATGAAGTTGTGTGTGTGTGTGTATGTGTGTGTATGTAGTGACAAGTTTGGAATTTTGTTTTCTTTGAAAAACACAGAATCATTGTAAGAATGTGTTTTTGTTTTAATCCCAGGTGTGGGAATATGGGGCTTCTTTGAACTGACTACAGCAGCTGACTATGATTTGCCTCATGCTCTAGCAGAGGCATGGATTTACCAGCTGCAGGTAGTTCCTAAGATTGTGTGACATTTGGAATTCTGGGAACTTTTCAGAGGGCACATAAATGCAAGGGCCCCGAGAGGCCTGGTCAATGGTTGTTGGCCGTTTAGGAAAGTTGGTTGTGGTTTCTTGGTAGCCATAGACATAGAAGAAACAAAAGGAAAGAAGTTAGATTCAGGGATTTTCCTGATTCCTATCTTCCATCTTCCTTTGCTTCTCTTCTATCTAGTATTAGTGGGTGAAAACCAGGGAGGTAAAGGTGGAGAAAAGAAGAACCCACAACAGCTACACCTTTGCCCAGGTGTAAGGGTAGGTATCAGATTACAGTTGAGTGACATTTAATGAAAACCCAGACACTCCTGCCCCATCCAGAGCATTTTGGCCCTTTACTATTGGACTCTTCTAATGGATCACTGTGTACTTATTTTCTCGAGCTGCTTATAGCCTCGGAGAATTGTTCAGGCACAGTGCCAGAGAGCAGTGCTACCAAAAACACCTGGGCCTTGAGTGTCTGCTGGAGCAGTGTGAGCAGGGAATATCCTCAGCATTGACAGGCTCAGCCTTTGCTCAGGCCTCCACAACCTTTACTAATGCCTGGGTGAGTCTGGTGTGGGGATGCCTCTCTTTGAAGGATGCCTAGAAGGATTGCTACCTCTGCCCACCAGAAACCAAGAGTGACCTCTCCACCCAGTCCTACCTGTGACAACCTCAAATTTATGTAAATGATGGCAACCTTTCCCATTGATAACTATAGATTTAACTGAAAGTCCTGTGTTTAAAGCAAATCAAAAGTCATTTACCAAATACAGATCCCACCAACTCTGAGTTCATGTTGACCTAAATCCCCCACCCCCACAAAGCAACCTGAAGACCACTTACCACCCTCTCCCCACGACCTTCTCGTAGACCCAGGGCTCTGATTTAAGAAATTAAAACCCATCTTTCAACCTATGTCTGATGTAAATTTATATTTTTTAATCCAACCCTGTACAGTTGTTACCAAAAAAACAAAGTGATTAGTACGGTCCTTGAAAACATAAACTCAGCTACAAAGAGATGTGCCCAGCTTTGCTGGGGATACTCACTGTTAGAAAACTGGAGCCGTACGTGGTACCTACAATAAAACACATTTAACAGGTCAGGTGGTCAGACCCCAGAGTACCCTGAGTGCCTGCCACAGTCTGTAAGGGAAATGAGACAGCAAGGCTCAAAATGTAAAGGTAAGCATATAGAAGGATAACTACAAAGACCAATGCCCCTGTCACACCGTAAAACACGTTGATATTAATTTCTCGGAAAACAAACAGTAAATAAATTTCAGTACTTTCAACACGGGTATTGTGTTTTTGCCAGTCTTTAATGGCATGGTCAGTACACAGCACAGGATGAAAAGAGTAAACAGAAATAAAGAAAAACAAGTGAGGCCAGGTGTGGCAGCACACGAATTTAATCCCAGCGCTCAGCAGACCTCTGAGTTTGAGGCCAGTGTGGTCTACAAACAGAATTCCAAGAGAGCCTGGACAGTTACACAGAGAAACCTGTCAGAGAGAGGGAGGGAGGGAGAAAGAGAGAGAGAGAGAGAGAAACAAATGGAATACATTGGCACACCTGCAATCTCAGCACTCAGGAAGCAGAAGCAGGATTGCTGAGTTCAGAGCCTGACTGGCCTTCTTAGAAAGCTCCAGGTCTTTCAGAGCTACATAGCAAGACCCTTTCTTAGACAACAAACAAGCAAAACTTCAGACAAGAGGAGAAAGAAAAGTACAATTATTCTTTTACAGACTTTATGTAACATATGCTGTAGAAAATAGCTCAAAGACAAGCTGAAAATAGATATACCCATCTCCCTTCATTCGTATCTGAAAAGAACTGCACTTGAACCCCTCCAAAAAAATTTTTTATTGCTTATTGAGACAAGATCTTTTTATAGAAAATAGTATATTTTCTATACTTCTATACTTTTATAGAAGTATAGTTCTATATTTTTACTTATTACAGTTTATTCAATTTTTATCCCAGCTGTAGCCCCCTCCCTCATGCCCTCCCAATCCCAACCTCCCTCTTACCCCTTCCTACCCCTCCCTGCCCCTCCCTTAGTCCACTGATAGGGGAGTTCCTCCTCCCCTTCCGTCTGATCCCAGACTATCAGGTCTCATCAGGAGTGGCTGCCAAGTCCTTCTCTGTGGCCTGGCAAGGCTGATCACCTCCTGAGGCAAGATCTTTACTGCAGTGATTCCCCTGCAGGCTTTTCAGCAGACAGGGATAAAACAGAGTGAGATAAGAATGAACTCTGTTCTGCCCAATTTTATTGTAACCAGTGCTAGACCAGGACTTCTAGATTCTGGCCCAGATCATTTCCCTTTAGCCATATTTAAAGCACAGCACAATTTTGAAAAAGGGGTATTTAGATAGCAATTAACTCTGTTCCAAGTACACAACAATGTAAAACAGGTACACTGGCATTCTTTACAAAGCACCTCTAGCTTCTTTCACAAGAACCAGTACTGTGGACTCAAGAGATGGGGCCCAAGATTTAGGGTCTACGGATCTTGACTGAGGTAAACAGAATCCCTGTGGGGGTGTAAAGATTGGCCTGGCCTAAGATAACACAAAAGTCACTTAGAGAGTTGTAAAGTACAAGTGAGATCATTCATAAGGATGGATTTTATGGCCTTAAAGTAATGCTCAAGGTTTTAAGAGGAAAGGGTTTGAGATACTCACAAATCCTGTCTCATCAGACAGGAAAGGATCATCACCCTGTAAAATTGCATCATTCCTGACATTCCAGAAAGAGCAACTACACACCTCTTTCCACTGAAGAGTTAAGGAATGTGTTTCCTGGCTTCTCCAACGCTTATCTGTGTGCACAAGGCCATTGTGTCCCCAACACTTTGCCCATGCAGCCCAGGCTGGCCTTGAATTCAAACTCCTCCTGCCACAGTCCCCAAAACTTGAGGTTACAGACATAAACCCTCACCCCATGAAAGAGCCCAACAGAATTCCCTCATATGTTGTGGAAGGCCGCCAGCTTCTGAGATACCCTCAAAAAAAAAAAGACCAAGTCACGTCTCTAGGGGAAAAAGGATCGAAGGAATCAGGAATGTCTGAGAGAAGGTGTGGACAGTTCTTTAGTGTGGACAGATGACACGGGAAAAGTAAGATGGTATTATAAGAGGTGAAGGAGGTAGGTGGGCCACAGCCGAGTGATGGCCAGATAACTCCTTTAAACCCTTTACTTTGCCCAGGAGGAAGGAGGATCCAAGCGTATCCTCCAGAACAGCTAGCAGTGATGGCCTCGTCCAGCAAGGGCCGCACCTTCACCCAAGCTCTGGAGAAGCTGGTAGCATAAAGGATTCTCACTCACTCAGTCAGTGTAGGGGAAAACAACTTGCAGGATCTTACCTGGGATTTCGGATCTTCTCAACCACAGTTTTTGTAACTTCTTCGCCTTGCCCGTTGTTTCAAGAATTTCCTCAGCCAGGTCCTGGATCTCTTTTAAAAAGGCCAAGCTACTGACTTTGCTGTTGTCGGTTGCAGTTTGGAACCTAGACAAACTTCAGACATGAAAAAATAAATACCACATGTTGAAGAACTCTCACAGGAATCATTTCTTCCTGACATTTAACAGGTTTTTCAACATTCCACACCAAAAGTCTTCAGTGAAATAGGCACATAGTTACATGACTACCACCAACCCAGAAAAACCCTCGACCATCATCCAAAATGGAAATTATCTCTAAAACTAACATTAGAACGTTATCCTCATTCTCTTCTTTATCTGTAAAGCTCAAAATTTTAGACAGTTTTTAGCCATTTTTTTTTCATTTATTCAACATGTATCATACTACACATCCCATTCAAAGTGCTGAGAGTAAGTATCAATGAGCATGGAACAGAGAGGATTGTGGGTAGACTAGATGCTGTGAGACAAAACATTAAATAGGAATGGGTGGTGGAGAGGTTCTCATATCTGTTAACTGAGAAATCGAATGGGTCAAGTATGGAAAACACAGGGGAGTCCGCGCTGGGCATGGAGACATATGTGTAAAGGCCCAGGAGTAGAAAGTGTCAGAAGTATCTGGATAGAAAAAGTGGAATTTGATGGAGCCAGAGGATTTCAAACAGAGATAGTCAGGAGAAGACAACTGTTCAACAGCAGGAGATCTGTTGGCATCATCCATCTGAAATGGAGACACCACTCAAGCACACCAATAGATGTAGAAACAGCATTTGGTAAGACCAGCACCTGCTCAGAGCAAAGAGTTCCTGTAAGTGAAATCTACTTCCTTAACTCACAAGGAACATTTACAAAACACCTTCAGCTAGCTTCCCTTTCACAGTGGGAACCACAAGGCTTTCCCACAAAGATCAGGAACCGGTAACAACAGTCCCTCCTCCCCATACTTTTTGAATATCTGCTGTAACCACATGGGCATGAGGACAAAATGGAAATGAGGACCAAATTCACGGCCACATGACTTTAAAAAGAAGCAATGCTGCGTTGGAGAGATGGATCTGTGGTTAAGGGAAGTCGTTGCTTTTGCAGAGGACCCAGGTTTGATTCCAGCACCTACATGGTGACTTGAATCCAGGAGATCCAAAACCCTATTTTTACCTCCTCAGGCACCAGGTATACAGGTGATGTACAAACATATGTACAAGCAAAATACACATACACATAAAATACCAAAACCAATAATTTTTTTAAAAGAAGCAACTGAAGGCCTCTCTTCAAAGATGCATAGTTGTGAACAAATTAAAAAAAAAAAAAAGAATATGAATAAAGTTCAAAAGTATTTTTAAAAACTAAAATAAGAATCAGTCTATTTCCTGTCCTCCCCTGATGAACAAGTACACCTGACAGTAGATGAGTGGGCCTTGTGGCTGCTGATGGAGGAAAAGATTAGGGAAGAGTAAGGCTTTGGAGGAAGGAGAAAGCAGACAGATTTAGGATCCACTGTGGACCTGGCAGAGACCTTTGTCAAATTAGGTGTGGAGGTGTGGATCATTTAACTATACTTATTCTCTCTCTTTCTCTCTCTCTCTCTCCCTCCCTCTCTCTCTCTCTCTCTCTCATGCTTTGACATGTTGAGGGCTTGCTGCCCCTAAATCGTGACCCTGCCATGGTAGTCAGTCCTTAGATATGGCAAACATCAGCTCTAGCTGGTTAAGTTCATCCATGCCTATGTGTTTACCTGACTGAAATGGAGATTGATGGAGAGGGGGACGGGTTGGACTTCCAAGATGCTGGAAGATCAGCGGCTTCTCCAGGAGCAAGGTGGATACAGGCTCAAGCCTGCAATACCACTCACCACACAGGAGGAGCAGCTAGGGGCCTCTTTTGAGAATGGTGCTAAGGGGCTCCATGTACTGTAGCGTCAAGGATTCTGTTTTCCCCTTGGAGGTGCTTAGTTCTTCCTTCTTTAAAGTGCACAACTTATTTGTTTTAAGCCTTTTTAGTCATGTTTATTTGTTTTAATTTTAGCATTTGAACAATGTTTCTCTTGAAAGATAATATATAAGACATTTGATATTTTATGAACAGAGAAAAACTCTAAAAACTACATAAATGCTAATTCTAAGAGAATAGGTGAATAATGACATGTGTCTGAAAGGATTTTCTTTCACCTTAAAAACAGGGTTCTGGAAACACAACCCCACAGTAAGGTCCAGGTGAGTGACAGAACACCTAGGAAACTTGGTCACTAGTGACTCTTGGGTGCTTTTTCCAGTCAAATCCCACACAGGGGTGTCAGAGGCTTTTAGGAACCTGCCCTGTCATGCCTGCCTCCCACCAGTGACACACAGGCTCACCCAATGCTGTAGGGAAACGCAGACTGAAATTTTGAGTAGCAAAGAATAAGCCTTATGTTCTTTCCTAAATAGTTTAACAACAGTATATGGATTGTGTGTGGGAGAAAGACAGGGTCTCCCTATGCTGTGCAGGCTGACTTTGAACTCACAGTCTTCTTTCTTCACAGTCCTGGATACTGGGATTACAGATAAGTGCCCAGACTCAGACTGGAGAAAAAAAAGTGTGTGTGTGTGTGTGTGTGTGTGTGTGTGTGTGTGTGTGTGTGTGTGTTTTCATGTATCTATTTCTGTGTGTGTTTGTGAGTGTGTATGTTTGTGTGTCTATGTGAGTTTGTGAGTGTACATGTGTATGAGTGTTTGTGAGTTTGTGTGTGTGTATTTGTGTTTGTGAGTTTATATGTGTGTGTATGGGTGTTTTTGTGTATGTGTGTGAGTTTGTATGACTGTATATGTGTTTGTGTATATGTGTTTGTGAGTCTGCATGTGTATATATGTGGATGGATGTCTGTGTATATGTATGTTTGTGTGTATATGTATGATTGTGTTTGTGTGTATGTATATGTATATTTGTATATGTGTTTGTGTGTATGTGTGTTTGTGAATTTGTATGTGTGCATGTATATGGATGTCTGTATATGTGTATAGTTGTGTGTATGTGTATGATTGCATGTGTGTTTGTGAGTATGTGTATATGTGTTTGTGTGCATGTATGTATGTGTATATGTGTATTTGTATGTATGTGCATTTGTGAGTATGTATATGTGTATATGTGTATGCTTGTGAGTTTGTGTGTGTATATGTTTGTTTGTATATGTGTTTGTGTGTGTGTGCATGTGTGTGTTTGGGAGGATGTGTATTTGTATGTCTGTGTGTATGTATAAGGAGAAAACATTCTCGTGACCTTGTATGTCAACCCTGTTCATCTGCTTACAGTGAAGACCTGATTCATTACAAATTTGTTTTAATCAGTAAAATAACTGATTTAAAATATAGCAGAAAAGTTATTCCACAAGTTACTGCAAGCATGTTAAAATAACTAAGCACCAATTTAAAAAAGGAATAAAGTTGGGAAGAACTTTTCCTGATTACAAATTATAGAACCTCTTAGGGGTTTTTAATCCTGTGTTACCTTATAAATTAGAGAACTTTGGAAATAAATAACAGAACTTTCATGACAAAGATAAAAACAGTCTCCTCCATAAACGTGTTCATTCACTGCTCAGAGCCTACAGTGAAACCCAGCATCACTGATAAATAAAATAAGCTCAGAAAGCATTCGAAGAAGAAACTGTTTCTAAATACAAGCAGACACTGCCAGCAACCCAGGCTACCCAGGACACAGTGCCATTCTCAACAAGAGGTGCTCTTAAGAACCTCTAGAATTTCATCTTGAAAGATGTGTGTGTGTGTGTGTGTGTGTGTGAGAGAGAGAGAGAGAGAGAGAGAGAGAGAGAGAGAGATCCAAATTACAAAGCACAAGAGGAAGTCAGTTACGGCTTCTCTATAGAGACCTTGTATTAAAAGCCAAAAGTGGCTTCTGAAGACATCTGTGAACTGCTCTCCAGCACCATCAAATGCCCAGCACCCTCCTGGAGATCCGGGGATTTCCAAGTTGAGGGTACTGTTGTAAGAAAGTAGACACAAGGTTCCCCTTTAACAAGGAGCTGGTTTTAAGGTCTAAGTATTATTCTAAGATGACTCACCTCATTCTTGTGTTTCTATTATCAACATGAGATACTTTCAAGGCAGAAAGAAAGTACATAGAAAATCCTTAGTTCAATGTTACAGTGTGTGCAAGTGTGGACAAGGAAGAGGGCGTGGAGAGGGAAGAAAGGTGGTGGAGGAGATTCTTGATATACTGGGGAAATCCCAGCACTGTAGCTATGGGGAGGGCAGCTTTCTCCTTCCTAAATCCAGTTTTTCACTGACACTCAAATATGCAAGGCCTGATCCTGCCCAAGTAAACCAAAGTTCACACACAGATTGTGTTAACTTTTACTAAGCTGACAGACTTAAAACTGTGACTGTGGAGAATTACAGTGTTGCAGATCCATGGCCAAGTGAGCCTGGGTAACCTTTCCTTCTCTGAATGTTCATTACCCACCCCTGAGTCTAACCAATCAGGTAAAACCTTTGAAATGTGTTAACTTAGCAATTGTTGGTTTCCATCAATCCCAAACTAACTGTCATCAGATAGAGACTGAAGCATTGAGCCATTTGTTTCCCCACCTCGCTGTAACCCAGCTACCTGAAGTCCCTGCCAGTGTACCTGGGAAGTGCCTTGACCTGTGGCTTCCTTTTGGCTTGTGACAATGTTTAAAATCCATGTAACGTCTTTCACAATATAATATAGTATTCTGGGTCATCTGAATCTGTGTGCTTGTGGCATGGTTGCTCTTTGAGGTGAGGGCTGTGTTTTGTATGGATACCAGCTTGAGAAGAAGATGTGGCAGAGAAAATTCACTTGGAAGAAATGACTCAACTTCTTTCTCAGCCCTCAATTATCGCCAAGTATTGCCCTCAAAGGCCAGGATACAGATGGGTACAAAGAGACCGCTTTACCTTTCATCCCAGGAGATCTAAAGCTGCCTGCAGTGGACAACGTGGGAAGCATGGGTCAGGCTAATGGCTGGGTTTGCAAATTAGGAACCTGAAACCTCTGAGAATCCTTTGTAGTCAAAACCTTTTTGAAAGTGCCATCACAGTTGGAAAAACAAAACAGTTTTCAAGTGAGACCACA